TACGTTTATAAGCTAACGTTCTAATTTCCAGAATCATTATTTACAAGTACAGAGGAACAACATCTACGTTATGTGAGCTGTTAATCTCAAATTCTCAAATCTCAATACGAGGAAAAATGAAAACAGGGGTGGGGGCCAAGTCATCCCGGTTCTTTAGATGTCAAGACTTTGAATTTTATTTACTTATTTATTTAATTATTTGGTATTTAAAATTACTGGTTTGACTGATTCAGGTTAGTGTTGATAGAGTAACACTCTTTAAAGTTGTCATTATAGAGCTCTAACCAAGATCCTTGTGTTAAAAATGAATCGATCCCAACTATCCTACCATACTCAAAGTTATAAGATTTGAATTGATTTTCATCCTTTTATCATCAAGTATTTTCCTATAGTATAAAACAAGGACATGAAGATTACTGCGAGACTGTGAAAGGTTAGGTCGGGTTTTTTCGATAATATCTAAGGTTAGTTACACTCGTTGTATGACACGTGATATTTCTAGTTCCCTTTCAGTCGTCTATTGTGGCATTATTGGAGTTTTAACGAATCCCGGGAACTAAAACTTGTATAATCCATACACCTGTCATCTTTTTTACGCTCTTGCGGGTTTGCCTACCATTAGGACGCAGGGCGAAGTATAGCAATAACTACTTTTAATCCTGTTATTTAAAATATATTCATAATTTATACTGTATTTTAAGATTAGCTAATTTATCCAAACTTCAGGATTTAGTATTCTGAATTTGGAAATTCATAATTTACTTACCTGAATTTTTGAGCTGCTAATTTGAAATTCAAGATTAAGTATCCTGAATTTTTGAACTACTAATTTAAAATTCAGGACATAAGATTCGAACTTTAAGACACATTGTTCAAACTTTAGGACACAATGTCCTGAAATTTGAATTTTGAGGTTTAATCTTTAGGACGTTGTGTCCTAAAGTTTGAGTGAAATTGGCTAATTTTTAAACATATTGTAAATTGTAGATATATTTTATACAGCATGTTAAAAGTGGTTATCTGGTGTCATTTCCACTAGGAAATACTACGCTCTTGCAGGTTTGCAAGTACTAAGCTCCCATTTGGTCATGGATTTTGGTTATATTTTTCAAAAAAAATGAAAATATTATTTGTTCATAGAACATAATCAGTTTTTTAGAGAAAAAAAATTTGCTCACAAAATTTCAATTTTGTTTTCAAATAAAATGCATGTCCAAACACAACTTTAACTTCAAAAAATTATTTTTCAATACAATTTTTTTTTTAAAAAAATTCAATTAAATTTATGTCCAAAAGTTACCTAAATAAGAATGAATATTTTGGTTCTGCACGATTTAAGATCAGTTGGTTTTGGTGCGATATTAAAGTTTCTGCTCAGACCAATTATTGATAGGGTAGAAGCTTGCAATTATAATCATTTGCATTTGTACATGAACACTGATGACTCTGTCTTTGGGTTCCACAAGTAGCGAAGTTCCCCTAGATCCTCACAAGCCTAGACCCCGATTCACTTCCTTTTCCAAACTTTGAGGCAAAAGGACATCACAAGGCAGAACGGGAAAAACAGGGATATTTTCCAATCCCGACACTTCTTTGACGTTTTCAATCAACATTAACTGCCACTACAAAAACAAGACTTATTCTAGAGGAGCTGGTCCCTACGGTCTAAATGAAATATCCTAAGCCGTATTTTGCTCATTAATTAGTTTAAACTTCCCATCCTCGAATCCTTTACGCACATCTATAGTCATAGGAAGTTGCCGAATTTTAATCCAAGATGAATTAAAAGAAAAAATGGGTAGACTCGTTGGAGGGTATGACTCCATGCTCAATAAAATGAATAAAAATCATGAACGATTCAATTCAAAGTTCACTAACAGCTTGTTTGGATGGTTGTTACTAGTCGTTTCATAATGTATCGTATTATATTGTATCGTTTGATGAATACAATTTTTGGATAGACTGTATCGTTTGTCATCGTTTCATGATATCACGCATCAACAATATGAATAATAAACTTGCAATATTATTAAAAAAAATTATGATACAAGGTAGAATTATTATATAAGAAGATAGGGAAAAGGATAAAATAAGATTATTTATTAATAATGAAGGGCGAGATGAGAAGAAAAAATAAGGTAACGACGCGACCACACCAAATCGATCGTTACATAAAGTGGCACTTTTCGTCGTTATGTAACTACGGATTTAACGATATGATACGATAAAATTTAAGTAACAATCAAAACGAACATTGGATTTAAAGTAACGATACGATACAATAGGTAACAACCATCCAAACAAGCCGTAAAGAGTAAAGACAAACAAGTTAAATGATTTTTTTTTTCATTAGCTTAAATTTTGTTAACCGATATAAAGTAGAAAGTATCCGCTGAAATAGCTAGCTGGATTTACGTGATTATACACGATTATACATATATTATACACAAATTATAGATATATTATATATCTAGTTATTTTTAATTTAAGCAATTTAGTGGATGGCTCTTAGTAATTCCACTAAAATTCTAGTGAAAGTGAAGTTGAAGGCGGTGGTAACGGTGTCGAGGAGCTTGTGAGAGCGAGAGGAAGAAGATTAGAGGAAAAATGAAAGGAAAAATAGTTCATCGGAAAAGGTCATCGGCATTTATGGTCTTCGCTGGAAAAAGAGAGTGATTTTTTTAATTGTTCAAACACACTCTCTATGTCACCTCAACAAAGATAAGGCGTGAAGTTGAAACTTCGACCTTAGTTCAGGGATACTTATGCCTTTTCCTAAAATTTCATATGGACACAAATTGGTCCAAATAACACCCTAGGAAAAGATGACATATAGCCTGCTAAAATGTTAAAGAGGTCACTGCCCATCACCCCATAAAATTCAGCAGTGATTGTCTCTACCATCCACAAATACCCTAAGATAAATCGCTGCCATTTGATTAAATTAGGATACACCAGGCAATAAGCATTTATGGCAAAGGATAAGTGGTCACTATCAAAAGCTGTCAATTAACCGCGCAAATGTTCCGATTGAAGTCAAGAAACTTTGAAATTACTGGAATTTTTTTGTTCCCGTGGAGATAAGATATACTCTTCCCCTTTTCATAAAAGGCACAAATTTCAATTTCCCATATATGCATGCAAGTACTAAACACCTAGCCAGTTAAAGAAAATGTAATACGTGAAAACAACCCGGATGCTAAAACCTCTTGATATTGAACGAGCACACCAATGATTCACCCCTACGCTGTTAAAATCAGGCAATGCTACTCCAGAATATGCGATACTTTTATAAGCTGACAGCAAAACTACAGTTGTCAAAAAGAATTGTGTGGCATCTACTTCCGCCGAGAAAGAATCAAATTTTACAGACTGATACTTTATAGGGATCACTATAGCCAATTAAGAATACTAGTTATCTAACTGAAGAATCAAAATCTGGGAAACGACTACCTTAGATAGCTCGTCAATTGCAGCTCGGACAGGGTAATCAGAATCCACATGCCTTGACCATCCTGCTGCGAGTAAATAGTTTTCCTGTCGAAGCTGCAATTTACAGGCTGATACTTTATAGGAGTTCCTGTGGCCAATTAAGAATCCCGGTTATCTGACCGGAGATTCAAAATTTGGGTAATCACAAGCTTCGAAAGCTCGTTAATTGCTTCTTGGACAGGGTAATCATCTGAATCTGCATGCCCTGACCATCTTGCTGACAGTGAACTTAATCTGCTGTATTCACTTGCAGCAACAGTTGTCTTTTTCGATGTTGCTAAAACCCTCTCCAAATCCGGTTCTGACAGCGGCCTTGGCTCCTGCTCAAGGAAAAACAAGGATACTTACACCCCCTACCGACCTAGATAGATTGCAAATGTCTATCTCTCTTTAAGCAACCTTGTTACTCTAATTTGTCCAGCTTAACAAGCTTAGCTATATTGCAGATGTTTTTTTTTCTTAAAGAAAACAAAAGATTCTAGACTGGTCCTTCTGTTTTTATTTTAATTTTTCCTTCGACGACCGATAACAAAGTTGAATCAGGCTCCTAAGTCTATTGTATATCCAGAAAAATCAAAAGGATAGCATGTACAAAGAAAATTCTAATAGTTTACTTTAGCAGTACTTGTGAAAAGGTTCTCTCTGTAGAAAAAAGGCCTAACTCTGTCTCTGCACTGTATTAAAGATTTGGAGGAGGGAGAAGCAGTTCCATTACACCAGCTGTTTCTTGTAGCACAAAAAGTTCTAGTTCTTCTGACACATTTTTCTCTTATTTTACCCTTTTTATCCTTTTTCTTTCAGTGGGTTAAACCCAACCCATTCATCAGAGTCATAGTCCTTAAAACTGCATTTATGTCAGTTAACTATCAATTAACAACTATAAGTTAGAATTTTGAGAATAGAATATAATACTAACCGCAGATTGCTTTCCACTCTTCTCATCATCAAGCAGGTCCCGGATGGGGAAGTAGGCAGCTTTTTTACAGAGCTCAAGAAGATCTGAACCAGTGTATCCATCACACAATCCAGCAATGCGTTCATAGTCAATGTTATCTTGTACCTTCTCGCCCCTCAGGATAACCTTCAAAATCTCAGCTCTCTCTTTGCAGTCAGGCATACCGATCTCAAAGGCCTGAGGAAGGCGTCGAAGAATTGCTTCATCAAGCTCAGATGGCCGATTAGTAGCAGCAAGTACCATAACCCGGGCATTATCTACATAAGCATTATCTCAGTAAATAAAGTCACAAAACTTTCTCGCTAGACCACATTAACTAGCTAAGAGACATGACCATCTCAAATTGCATAACTTGCTGAGAAAATTTTGCAGCAAATGAGTGGTGATTGGTGAATGAAAGCTACTAATAAGGAAATCATCTCATTAAGGAGTGAACCTACGATCTGTGGTAAAACCATCCCATAAAGCCATGAATTCAGTTTTCATGTTTGTTAATGCCTCATTGTCAGTAGCCTTGCGCTGACCCAAAAAGCTATCCACTTCGTCAATGAATATGATTGCTGGCTGCAGCTTATACGCCAAACTAAACAAAGCGGAAACTGTAAAGATTTCAGAAGCATATATCAATGAAGAAGTCTAACATCAAGTGGAATATTAAGTCTATACTAAACCAACTTTAAGTCACTTAAATCAAATCAGTAACACGAGCAATCACCCAAAAAAAATAAAAAAAAATCAAAGCAAGATCATCCAATACTAGTTACACTTTAAGGGTTTATAATACCTCACCCCCGGGGGGGGGGGGGGGGGGGGGGGGGGGGGGAGTGTTTATTCTTAAGAATTTCTAGGTGAAGTTTTTATGCATCCAGTTTTATAACGTAACTAAAACCTAAGAATCTCCCTGGAAACCCAGAATCGAGCCTCATGTCAGGCCAAAAACTCCCTGTACTTTTGCTCCTTGGCTTCAGTGCAACAGGGGTGCCTATGGTGTGGAAGTTCAACTATTTCCATGAAATGACATAACAGGGAGCAAATTTTGAGGATTTTCAAATGAATTATCATGAGATCATGTTCGCACATCTGAGACTTAATGAAGAAGCACACATAATTTGTTGAACAATTACTTGCAACAAGAAAACATATGTAGCCAAATGTCACATATACTTGAATCTATTTTACTGGAACTCTTAGTTTTATTCTTTTAGTCTAACAACAACAACAAACCCAGTGTAATCCCACAAGTGGGGTACTGGGAGGTTAGTGTATAAGCAGACCTTACCCCTACCTTGAGAAGGTAGAGGCTGTTTCTGGTAGACCCTCGACTCAGGAAAGAGAAAAAAGGAGGAGTAACACGCAGCAGCAAAACCAATCACAGAACCAAAGCAAAAAAACAACAAGTAATAATAGACATCTAAGAATAAGAAAGTACAAGACTAACACTAAGTAGTACACTAATAGTACTGGTATGAACAAGGAAAACGCTCGGCTAGCTAAACTTCTACCTTAATTCTCAACCTCCACACCTTCTTATCAAAGGTCATGTCCTATATGCAGGAGCAAAAGAATTGTTGTTGTTGTTGTCGTAGTCTAACAAAAGAATTCTCATAATTTGGAAAAATTGTCTGATACAGAAAAAAAAAGCTTGTGATTCTTATGATCATACAGAGAAGTTGAATTGACCTTCAAAATAAAAAAATTTACACACTTGAGCTGGTTCGCCATTTCAAACTAGGAAAACAAAATGCTTCATTTGAAAAGCAAATGAGAAGAGTCCCAAAACATTGGAAACCTAAAATACGACAAAAGGATTTATTAAACCATTGTGCTAGAACTCTTCCAACCGAAAGATGAACGGGAGAATACCATATGGTGTCTTCTATATTGTCCTATAAGAAGCGTAGGACAGGAAATCTGATAAAGGCAACCTCTTCAACTTCACTAAATTTGCTTCTGGTTTGAATAATCTATAATTCTCATTCCTATTCCTAAAATTCAGAAGTGAGCATCCACTTAAAGTTTTTCTATCACTACAATCATTGTACTTTAACGAATTTCAGATCCTTGTGCTGCACAAGCATGGATTTTAGATGCTGATTCCTGAATTTTGCGGCAAGAAACTTGTTTGAAATTTGCAAGCAACTGGACATTTTTCTGTGAATCCCAGTTCAACATAACATTAGAAAGAAAGAACTTTGAAACCGCCAAACCACCTTGAACCAAATTGTAACTGCCCAACTGAAGTTAGCCAAAACTAGTAGAGTATGTTCAATTTGAATTCTTGATTTCAAGAACCACCAATGACAGTTCGGTTTAAGATTTTAGGCAAAGAGTGCCCATTCACATCAGGAATAGTGGCCGTTAAGGATATAGTTGCTTGTAAATTTCTTTTCTAAATCGAGATTGGATTGATGTTCAGTGTACTTCTAAATACGATCACCCAGAAAAAAACTGTGCACACCCTACTCTTTACCCTACTCAACAAGAACAAAACAAAATGAGCAAAAGCACCATATTATGGCCCAAAACAAATTCAACTGAAAGAGAGATATCTCTAAAAATGGAGATCATAACTTGTAAACTTTACATGCACATAATAAATGCAATCTAAGCTTAGCCACAGAAACTTGAAATCATGATTTTTATCACCTGGACAACTTCATTTGAACAAGATAATACCAAACAGAAAAATCACTAACACGATCTTCAGAGGACTGGACAGAACTAAACAACTCTTCCCATGATCAATTTTAACCCCACCCCTCACCCCCAAAAAAGAGTACTCCATAATAATTAAGTTGCAAAAAAACACTAGGTTATCTTGATATCTTACTCACGGTCAAATAATGCTTGTTAATCTGAATAACAACTGAGAGTACAAGAAGGGCTGAGCAAAGGTGAATAATCAAACAACATATCAAAGAAAACATAATGCTGAAAAAGAATCTTGAAAGAGTAAAGAAAAGATCTAACTCACCCAGCTTTTGGGCATCACCAAACCATTTGCTCATCAGATTCGATATTTTCACATTAATAAAAACAGCACCTGACTCTTTAGCAATTGCTTTGGCAAGCATGGTCTTTCCAGTGCCAGGCGGTCCATAGAGCAACACTCCTTTTTGAGGACCCAGAAGTTTCCCAGAAAAGAGTTCAGGCCTCCTCAAGGGAAGTATTACCAATTCATACAGAGCTTGCTTAATAGATTCCAATCCACCAATTGAATCAAATTTCACATCTATATGATCAGGGTTAATCACATCACAGGCTATTATATCCTGTTGAAGCAAAGCACAAAGGAGTTCAAATAACTCAATATGAAAATGATTGTTTTTTACTGCAAGTTCCAATCATGTTTAAATTATTCGCACCATCAAGGAATTATAGCATGCTAAATGAAAAAAGTATGTAGGTTATAATCGATTTCTAATATAGCCTTGGGAAACAAAGTATTGGAAGGGTAAAAAAACTCTAAAACAGTAGGGAAGTGATCATAATAGACAAGCATTTGAACCCTACACACTAAGGAATATCAAATTAAAATGACTTCCATCATTTTTAACCAAACTGAGCTACACAATGATTTCAGAGGGTGAAGTAAAGGGTACAAAGTTCCAAAAACATTGGATGCAGGTGCAGTTGGCATGTAGTAAAATGTTCTCGCATGGAATCTTTTGCCTCGGGCTACTATTCTAAATCGTTTTCTCATGTTTGGTTGAGTATAACGATATGCTAATCATACAAGATTTACGACTGGAGGAGTGTTTCAGTAGAATCTGAAAACAGACAATATAATTGTCGGTTAAAACAAGTGATAAAGAGTAAGAGTTGGGATCCATTTTTCCATTTTGATCAAAAACATTTTCTTCAGAGAAAGTTGTTTTTTCTTTGAATTCAAGTAATGCATATACTGGAAAATGATTGAGTACAACTAGTAGTGGCAAAATGATTAGAAGAAAACAATTATTTACCCATATTGTCTATTAAAAAATGGGTTGGATAATGAACTTTTTAAAAAACATGTCAAATATGGATAAGAACCATATTATTCACTTAGAAAATGGATGCCCAATGGATAGGCAATGGCTAACTAATGGCTTTAACTTTTACATTTGTGAAGCCTCTGGAAGTTCCTCAAGTTTGGGAAGGAATTCTCCTTAAAGTGATCATATTCAAAAAGTCATGGATAATATGGATCCATATTATCCGCCATTTAACCCGTTTTTTATCAGTATTAAATATGTGTTGGGTCGGATAATTTATCCGTTATGCATTACCCATTTCGAAACCCCCCCCCCCCCCCCCATATCCGACTCATCCCGCCCATTTGCCACCCTTAAGTACAATATTCCTCCACACCAAACACAACCTATCTGTTTGACAAGCACAATGACGTGATTATTTACCAACAGACTGTCCACTGAATAAAGGATGGTCTACACAAAATAATACTAATTAATAAGTAGCATATGTACCGTTGAGACTCAATTTTTTCTAACATTTATCATGATTGAACCCAGTTAACACTTGAGTCAGCGTTCTAAAATCCAGACTCAAGTAAAGTTAAAATACTGGCTCCGCTACTATACCATAATATTCATTCTAAACAATACCACATAATATACCATAATGAACAGGAAAATGTAAAGCAAACAAAATAAAACCAAAAATTATAAGTATAAATAACAAAAGGAAGCGACTTTAGTTTTATGTTAAAAAAATTCAAAAAGGGGGAAAGAGTGAGAAAGCACAAACGAGACTGGAGAGCAACCTCATAGGAATTGGTTTGAACAAGAGGTCGACCAAGGCGCTTAGCAATTTCCTTCTTGTGCTCAAGAGCCTTCTTGGAGGCATGTCTGTTCGGGTCAAGTTGTCGGAGGCCCACAAACAAAACAAGGCTGCTCAGAGCAGCGCTCGCCGCGTACAGAAGCAATTCTTGCAACAACTTCGTCTCCGATGAACCACGCCTCATCTTAACGTCAGAGGTTTCTCAATTTGATTCACAGAAATACAATGGCGTTTCGATGGGGTAAAGCCTTTTGGGTTTGCCCAATAAAAAAAACCTGTCCGAACCGCCAAGATAACGGAAACGAGCTTAATTTACGTAAATAACCTTTCCCAGCAATTTATATGTCAGCGGGGGCGATGTTTAGTTCGAAGTCACAAGCCTAACTTACCGTTTGGGCTATGGCCCAAATCAATGCATTTGGGTTTCACGGCCTTGGCTGAAAAAGAAAATAAAATTGGACTTTTTATAAGAGACTTTTACCTAGTCAAACTATATTATAAACCTACTTTACTACCACTAGAGATGTGTAAATATAGCACGGTATAGCCAGTTTTCGGACTAGTCATTCAAAAATAGCCAGCGTTTACGAAGTCAATGAAAAATAGCTACTATTTTGCTGCAACAGAGACCGGTCCAGCATAATATACTGGAGTTCAGTGCACCTGTGTATGAACTCCAGCATATTATGCTGGACCGGTATACTTTGCTGACTCTAGTATAATATACTGGAGATTGGAGCACCGGTGCTCCAAAGTCCAGTATATTATACTGGACAATTATACTTGCTGGAACTCCAGTATATTATGTTGGAGTTCTAGTGTACTTATGCTGGAACTCCATCATATTATGTTGGAGTTCCAGCATACTTATCCTGGAACTCCATTATAATATGCTGGAGTTCAAGCATACTTATGTTGGAACTCCAGTGTCATGTACTTGCGTATTTTGCAAGGTTTGAACAGTGTTTTCGCTCAGATTTATCTTTACATGAAAAGTCGTTAAATTTCGATTACTTTTGAAACTAGGCTATTTTTGAACGACCAGTTGTAAATCTGGCTATTTTTGAATTTCTCCCTAGAGATATTTGTAGAAATGGCGTGTGGTAACCACTATTTAAGGTGGTATTTATTTTTATCCAACAATTTTAATGTTGAGCAAAAATAGTCACTACTCTATTAAAATTAATATGAAAAGATATTTTTACTCTTTCTTCCATTTTTTTTCTTCCCAAACCCTCACTTCTCTCTCGGTTTATCAAAAGCCTTTATCAAAAGTTCAGAACTCTTACTTGTCTCTCCAGAACTTTAGTACAAGGTGAATTGGAGTTGTAGCTATCGGATAGCGACACCAATCTCTGCAATAATTCTATTTATATTTTCTGGAACACACATGTTCAAGATCAAGTCCCGTAATATTTGGAATGTAACAAGATTAATAATATGCATTACAATTCTAAGGTTTTTTTTGGGTAAAAATTGACCCTTTATCAAAAGTTCAAAACTTATGCCTCATTCAAAAAATAAGGATATGTAAACCTGAACTTAGAGTTACAAGTTCAAAAGTTAAGGACATGTAGTCCTGAACTTAGAGTTACAAGTTCAAAAGTTAAGGACATATAGTTCTAAACTTAGAGTTACAAACTCAAAAATTAAGGACATGTAGTCCTTAACTTAGACTTACAAGCTCATAAATTAAGGACAGCTAGTCCTGAACTTACAGTAACAAGCTCAATTAAGGACACTTAGTCCTGAACATAGAGTTGGAAGTTCAAAAATTAAGGACATTTGGTCCTTAACTTAGAGTTACAAGCACAGAAATTAAGGACAGGTAATCCTAAACTTAGAGTTCCAAGCACAGAAATTAAGGACAGGTAGTCCTGAACTTCGAGTTACAAGTTCAAAAGTTAAGGACAAGTAGTCCTAAACTTAGACTTACAAGCTCATAAATTAAGGACAACTAGTCCTTAACTTACAGTTACAAGCTCATAAGTTAAGGACACTTGGTCCTGAACTTTATGAGCAGAAGGGTATTTTCGTCCGGACGGGTAAAATTTATTAAAGTAGTGGTTAAAGATTAAAGACATTTTAAATAGTGACTTAAAGGTAAATACATATCTTATTAGTGGCTAACTGTGCACTTCCCCGAGTTATTTTAACTTAACTAGCAAAATACAGTTAAATTAAGTAAAATAATTTATATTATAGTCTATATAATTACAATTCCTTTTATTATGTATAGTCGCCCACTCAAAAAGCCAATTTATGTATATTGGTTAGCGAATCATATTTTTGACGAGCGAATAAATATATAACTTTCCATTTGTTTCCTTCGCAAACATGCATAATTTTTGAAGGCAAAATACATATTCCCTCCGTTCACTTTTACTTATCTATAATGGATTTGCACATCCTTTAAGAAATAATAAATAGAGTACATATTTTATAATAATAATACCCAAAATAATAATAGCATTTCAAAAGGTCTTCAAAAATGATGAATAGAATTAGTAGTTAATGATAAGGGTAAAATAAGAAGAAAAAGATATATTTCTCTTGACTTAGTAAATTGGACAAGTAAAAGTGAAAATGTATTTTAGTATAGTGCACAAGTAAAAGTAAACAGAAGGAATACTACTAACCTTTACACGAAGCTGATAAGTTGGGACTTCAACGAAGACGCTATATTAGTAATACTTTTCAATTACAATCTAATGCTAAATCTTTTTGTCAAACATCCGATGAAGCTTTGTCCAGTTGGACTAACTGTAATAGTAATTTTCTAAGAATAGATAGTAGTACCTCAGGATAGATAGTACTGATAGTAGTAATTATCCGTATGTTTGTAATTCTGCAGCATCCATGCAGCCCCCTGTAATGCATCTTAATTAATAGAAGTAGTCTTTTAAACCAAAAAAGTATGTGCACCAAAAGGATATGTGCATGACACATCTTTTGCATAGAGTTCATTACTTAATTATAGTTCATAAAAAATGGAGTATATCTTTACCTTAATATATCATAACTGTAGTAAATTAAATCTGGTCATCCTAGTAAATTGTTCCCATGTCGAAGATTACCTGGTCACCGTTTTTCTTTTTTTGACATATTTTCTGCTCTTTAGGTCAACGATTTTCTTTTTTGGTCATAGCTCGGAGAAATTATTACTAGTCATCCGTTGGAAACTTATATCGGCCGCTAGCCACAAATTACAATATATTATATTTTATAGTTTAAAACTAATTCTAGCGGCTACTCACCGAAATTGACAAACTCAACTGACACGGAAACACAACGGGAAGTAGCTTTTAAGATGACTTTTAATTTCTTCAAAGGGAATCATTCATCATTTTATTTATTTTTTTGGCTTTTATGCTATTTAGATATTAATATTTTATACATACTTGTGTAGAATATAAAAATAAAACTTTTGTCATAAATGTTACTTTTTTGCCAGCTGATGGAAGGGACAAAACGGACATGTGTTTGGGACGTTACATTCTTTTTATATACATTAATAATATAGATTTCAATTCAATGTTTGAAAAAGATTATGCTAAGAAATTGATTTCTGCCTTTTCCTATGCGAGTTCAAGATGTGCCCACACTGTAAGCTAGATAAATAAATAAACCTATAAACCATTATAATTAGGAGCACTAGTATAATCATTGTTGATATCTAATTTTTTCCTGTATATTTTTAATATACAAAATACTTTCAAAATAACATGAATATGCATATATAAGTATGTCCCAAGGTTTTAATATTTTTTCTCTTAATTTTAAGAATTTTTAAATTAATTTATTGCCTTATTTTCGCAAGAAAAACTCAATAATTGTTCCCAAAATTATCAGTTTGGTGATTCATCTATTGGATTCTCATATTTGCATTAAATATAGCAAACATAATTTTTGTATATTTTTTATAAATTTATTTAGTATTTTTAAAGCTAAATTGCACGTAATTGTGATATTAGCCTTGTTTAAGATTTAATGGTGTTTATATTTATAAAAATAACTTCAGTATTTTTAATTGGATAATTATGTATTATTAATCATTTTATTGCTTTTAATTTATTTTTGGAAATTATTTTACTATTTTTTATAAAATAAATAATGGAAAAATAGTTATTTAAATGATAGCCCATTTGTATTTCAATTTTGGCCAGATTTGAACCCCCAATCTCAAACCCAATACCCAGCCCAAATCCTAAATCTACCCGACCCATAACCCGTTTGAATAACCCGCCCGGATCCCCATTTAATCCAGGTCGTTGATCAAAATGATCAACGACCACCATTCACCCTTCCTAAATTAAACTAAACGACCCCCCAAACCCCGCTCATTTCCCTCACTCAACCGACTCTCTCTCTATATCTCTATCTCTGGTTCTCTCTAGAACCTTCCCTTCCCCCTCCTTTCCGATGAGTCTCATCCACCTTCTCCGGCCATCTCCTGACCTGAATCTATGGTGGTCTCACCACCTACCAACCTTACATGGTGCATACACGCTCGTTTGCTGAGTTTTCATGGCCTGGCCATGAAGAAGCTTCGTCCAGTCCTCGTTGATTCAAGTTATATGGCCATCTCTGGCCTTGCTCCGGCAAGATATGTCTGTTTCGAGCATGGCTTCGATTCCTCCTTCTTTGATCCAGGCCTTTCTCACCGTTTGGGTTCCTCTGAAACTCTAGCTTTTGAGGTTTTTCTGATCTCTTTAGATCTGTTCCAGATCCGTGTTTTTCCTAAGTTTTAAAACGATTTCTTGATATTTCTTTCAAAGCTATGTTTTCAAAACCCTTTATTTTTTTTCCTGACCTAGGGTTTCTGAGTTATTTAGGCTTCTCTGATTTTCTTTTTCTTTTGTATGTTTTTTTTACTACGTTTCTTCTACTGTGTTCTCTGTGAGTTTCTTATTAAGTTTCTTCCAATGTGTTCTTAATTAGTTTCTTCTACCATGTTTCTTTATATGTTTCTCCTACTTTATTCTGATTAGTCTTCTTCTACTATGTTTCTATGAGTTCTTCTACTGTAATTTGCATGTTACTCTTTTACTATGTTTCTAATAAGTTTCCGTTACTGAAAAGCATGTCGAAGGCCCCAGTTCCCTTCTGAGATCTTTGAACTTGTTTTCGATTAGTATCTTCTTCTTACTTGTCCTCTCATCTCGGCACTCGATTGATGGTAAAACCTTAGAATTTGGGGTTCATCCGAGTTTGAGAACATTGGCTATGTAATATGTTTGTTCTTCATCTTTAAAACCGTTCGATTTCAGAAACCCTAACTATTTCGAGTT